CAGAATGTTGGGATAAAAAACAACAATAATAAGATGGAATAAAACTAGTAATAAAATAATAGTAATAATGAAAATTTATAAATAGCCAGAGTGTTGGGATAAAAAGCAACAATAATAAGATGGAATAAAACTAGTAATAAAATAATAGTAATAATGAAGAGTGTATAGAGCCAGAGTATTGGGATAAAAAGCAACAATAATAAATGTAATAAACCTAGTAATAAAATAATAGTAATAATGAAGAATTATTGTTTAGAGCCAGAGTGTTGGTAAAAAAGCAACAATAATAAGATGGAATAAAACTAGTAATAAAATAATAGTAATAATGAAGAGTGTATAGATTTTGAGCGTTGGAATTAAAAGCAACAATAATAAGATGTAATAAACCTAGTAATAAAATATAGTAATAATCAAGTGTATAGAGCCAGAGCGTTGGAATTAAAAGCAACAATAATAAGATGGAATAAAACTAGTAATAAAATAATAGTAATAATGAAGAGTGTATAGAGCCAGAGTGTTGGGATAAAAAAAATGGAATATGATCAGAAATTTTCGAAAAGTAAATATTTCTCTTGTATAATAACCACTAACTTTAGGATTTGTAGCAGCCAAACTGAACCTAAATTTATAGTTTATATTCTGTTTACAAACACCAAAGTCGCTAAATGTCGTAAGTCCATAAGCCACTATGGACATGGATATTGAAAGGTTGGCGAAGCAACCCTGAAATTATCATAACAAACTCATTCAAAAAATGCTGCATGGCGGGCGCCCTGGGTGACAGTAAGAACAAAATCGGTGAGGCAGTAGACACAAGATGACCAAAAACACATTATATAGCAAAATCAATAACAATACATTTTATAACAAAATGACCAGCAATACATTTTATAGCAAAATGGTCGACAATACATTTTATAGTAAAATGACCAGCAATACATTTTATAGCAAAATGGCCTACAATACATTTTATAGCAAAATGACCAGCAAATCATTTTATAGCAAAATGAATAACAATACAATTTATAGTAAAATGACCAACAATACATTTTATAACAAAATGACCAATAATACATTTTATAGCAAAATGACCAATAATACATTTTTATGCAATATAACAAAATGACCAACAATGCATTTTATAGCAAAATGACCAGCAATACATTTTATAGCAATATGACCAACAATACATTTTATAGTGAAATGACCAACAATACATTTTATAGCAAAATGACCAATAATACATTTTTATGCAATATCTCAAAATGACCAACAATACATTTTATAGAAAAATGACGAACACTACATTTTATAGTAAATTGACCAACAATACATTTTATAGCAAAATGACCAACAATACATTTTATAGCAAAATGACCAACAATACATTTTATAGTAAAATGACCAACAATACATTTTCTGTAGTTGAAGGCATACAATTGTGTTCAAAATATTTTAATTCCGGCATTAAATAATCCATAGAGTTTGATATTCTACGAATCGAAATAAGCGAAGCAACCAAAATGAAAGAACTCTTTTATGACATTAATCCATATAATATCCTAATCCATTAATCCATATAATATTCTACGATTTATTAAAGTATTCCAAAATATAACTACAACAAAACTATAGCATAAAACACACATATCTAGTAATCAGGTCCACACAAACATGTATATGCACACAAGCTGAGTGCCATGTATTCAATCGTGAAAGCAGAATAAAAACATATTTTTAATGCTTCAAAGCTCGCAAGAAAATTAAATTTCAGCATTAAATGACCCATAAGGATTCGATATGCCGTTAAAGAAACAAACAAAACAATTTGTAATGACAAAGCCTAATACGAAACCGATGTTTTTTTAAATTTCTTATGAAGAAACTCGTGAATTTTTGACAGGAAACTTTTGATAATACCGAATTGTTCTCCTTGATTTTAAATGTTTCTTCTAAGAATAAATTAGCATTTTAGTTGGTTTTTTTTTTTAATTTTCTGTATAGACATGTTGAGGTCGACCCTCCTAAGTTAATAACGTAATCAGTTATTTTAAGTTGGGATAATGCGACCCCACATTTTTTGCCGTCGAGTTTCTCAGCTCCCTAATTACATCCGATTGGGAGCCTTTAATTCTTACCCTTATTTCTGTGTCCAAAATGACATGTATCTTATCTGGTTTATGTTGAATTCGTTAGGATTAGTGAGGATTTCAGGCTGCTTTCAGTGGTATTATCTACTCTAATTTCTGTTCTAGTTATTACATTCTAAATAGTTACTATAAATTTGGTACTTCTTATTCTGTGATAAGTCTGTCCTCATTAGTCAGGTTTTAGGACTGAAATATGCGATTCAGTGGATGAAATTGGGAAGAGCTATGAAGTACAAGTACGATTTCTTTCTTCAAATTTTTTTTGTTTTTATTTGTTTGTTTTTTTTGTTTGTTTTTTTTTTTTTTTGGTGCGTCTAATTCATCGGAGATTCAGCGAAATACGGTAACTT